TCTCTTTAACATAAACATAAATTATTTTCGTATAATTTTAAATGTTAAAATTTAATAAAAATTTAAATTTGTTTAGGGCACTTAATATATATGATTATGTGTATTTTTGTTTTTGCAAAGAGCAAAGAAAAATTGATTTAGTTATTTATATTTTTAGTATTTTTTTTTTTTTTTTTTTTATCATTAGTTATAATTAAATTATTGCTATGGTGGCGGTGGACTGCGATATTTAGCACGAATGTGCAAAAATGTATTAGGTCCAACAGCTGTTGGAATTTGTGCTAATAACTGCAAATTATTGAGTGAACCAAACCCTGTTGAATTGTATATATCGTGCTTCTGAGAAGTGGTAGTAGTAGTAGTACTTGGTGATGTGCCTCTGCTTAATATTCTCACCTGACAAGGATCGTGCCTTAAAAGAAAATGTTCGAGAGTATCCCAACCTCCTCCTACTCTTACCATCATGTGTCTGCCTTTGAGTAACTAAATATTAAATTGAGTTAAAATTAAATTTTCCATGGAAAAAAAAAAAAAATTAAAAATGATTTACTATGATAGAATATCTCACCCTCACAAACACATTTCTTCCAGCAATATTGTACTTTCCATCTCCAACTTTTTTAACGGATAATTTTGAACATTTATTTTTATTACAAGAACAATGCTTCTGTACAATTTTAGTAGTTTGTTGGACCTTTAGTAAAAAAAAAATTTGAGTTTTTTTGATAAAAATTAATTTTATAAATTTTTTAAAAAATATTTTATCTTATATAATAATTACTTTCATGTCAACTTCGTTCATCGGACTTGCAACTTCTCTTCCATCTACTTCTGCATCTGTATCTTCGGCACTTTCTCTAGACCAATCATCTTCGGTATGATCGCTTGGTATACCATCGCTTCCATCTAAGGGCTTGTTCCACATCATTTCACCCATGCTACTACCCTCGCTCGTTGATCTTATAATAACGTAAATTATTATTATTATTATTATTGCATGTCGTTTTTACAAATATGGATTTATCGATATTTTAAAATCTACCTCCTTTTTAAAGTATGAAAAATTTAAATTATTATTATTATCATTATCTATCGAAACGAGTTTCTTTATTACATAAATTAGAAAAAAAAGTTTTCTTTCTAGATAATGCCAATAAAAATTTAAAAAATTTAAATAAAGAAAAGAAAAAAATTTTTGGAAAGTTACAAAAAAAAATTTAAATTTAAATTTAAATTGATGAATGTAAAAAATAATAATTTGTAATGTTTTTTTTTTTTTTTTTTTTTTTTTTAGTAATTAAATGTAATCAGTCACGATTAAATAATTTTATTGGCATTCATAAATCATTTTATTTTTTTTTTACTTATTTATGTAATTTTAAATTTCATTAAAGAAAGAAAATTTTTTTTTTTTTATGCAATAATGAATTGAAATTGTTTGTTTGTTGTTTTAAACAAACACGTGATGCGTAGTTAGAATATATTTAAGAAAAAAAAAGAAAATTTTTTCTTTATACCAACCTGGAAAGATTACTAAAAGATGGCCTGAACTGCCATGATAACAATGAATTTTTATTCATTTTTTCTAATCTTTCCGTTCTTTGTTCTTCTTCTGCTATTTCTTTTTCCAATTCTACTAATCCTGGAGGTTCTATATTAAATTTTGTCGCTATCCTGGATAACTCCAAAAGGCACAAAATTACATTACGCGGTTGGTTATGAAGAACTTGTAGTAAAAAAAAAAAAAAAAATGAAAAATGAATTTTTAACATAATGATAATGATAATGATAATAATGATAATAATAATGATTAAATACCCAAATCGTCACTTTCGAAAAGTAGATTTTGATGAACTCCAAGTTCTTTACAGAAAATTATAAAATTTTCCATGTTATCTCTTGAAAAAAAACTTCTCCTTGCCGCATTGTGAAAACAGTGACTGTTTAAATCGGGGATTTTCTATAAAAAAAATTATCATTATTATTATTATTATTTCTATAACATTAGGTTTTTTTCGAAGTAAATAAAACGTGTATAATACCCCTTTGTGTATGCCAATATTTTTGGCATGTTGCGCTCGTTCATGAATTATTCTTGCGAGTTGACACAAAATTACTCCGTTGTCAAGCGTGTCCATAAAATTATCTCCCGTTATGTGTTTTATACCTGCAAGCAATGATATAGTCTGCTAAGTTAATTACAATTTTTTCACGCATGAAATAAGAGTGTGTGTGTGAGAGAGAGAGAGAGAGAGATAGAGAGAGAAAAGTTAAATAAATAGTGAATGAGTGAGTGAGAGAATAACAAAAAACAAAACATTGCTTTCATTATATCCATTTTTACTACCAAAAAAAAAAAAGTGAGATTTATTTTTTTTTTTTTTTTAAAACAAACACGACAAGTGTAAATTTATATTTTTTCAGGTTGTTGTTGTTGCATTTACCCCATTTCCGTTTTAACCCAAAAAAAAAAAAATTTATTTATAAGTTTAAAGGGTCTTTTTGACGATTTTTAAAAAATTTAGTTTAAATCTCTGCCAAGAATATTAATCATTTTTTATTTCCTTTTTTAAATAAATAAATAATAATAATAATAATTTTACCTAAGAAATCTCTTTTTATGTGGTTGTTGTTGTTGTCTTTTTCAAATGATCACGACCTTATAAACTTATTAAAATTATTTATTTATTAAATTGTGACAAAACTATTAGTGGTTGTTGTAATTTAATTGTAAAATCGGTCATAAAAAAAAAATTTCTTTGATTTTTACCATAAGTTAATTAATTAACCGTTAACGTCGTGACGTATTAGTTTTTTTTAAACACAAAGTAATCACTTAATAAAATTATTACTAATAATAATAATAATAATAATTACCAACGATTACGCGGTTTACTTAAAAATAAAATTTTACATTCTTATAATTAATTATATATGGAAAATTTAATGATAATAATAATTTTGCTACGTGAAAGTTATGTATATTAATGTGTATTCTATGGTTTATTAATTAATAATAATTATTATATTTTCTCACCTCTCAAATCATCGTTTGATCCGATAATAATTATTATTATTTATTTATTTATTTATGTACACGCATCGAATCCGATCAATTTTGCGCCATTTTTTTTGAAGGGTTTTTTTTGTATGTGTGTGAGTATGTCGAAAAATTGTAATTACAATAATTTTTTCATAATTTCATTAATATCATTATCATCATCATCATCGTTGTTGTTGTTGTTGTTGTTGTGGTTTAGGTTGTCGTCGGATATGGGATTGTTATGTATTCCGGTAATGGTTTCGCATTGTTTCAAACACATGGAATTTATCCTTTCTAAATTTTCAACTTTTTGAATGAGAGAATTTGTTTTTTTTAATAAACTTTGACCGCATTTATCGGCTTTGTCCATGTCTTTTATAAATCTAAACACTTCGACGTTATTGTTTTTGTTGTTGTTACCTTCCAAATCGTTGATCAATTCGTTACAAATGTTCATTTTTAATTTGAGTTGTGACACGGCCGAATTAAGCTGTAGTATGGCATTCATTTTTTGCAAAATGTTTTTCCTTTCCGCGTTTAAAAATTTCATGTGCTGACGTAATTTATGTGCCAAACGCAATTTAATTTCGGCTCTTTGCAATTCGTTTTCCGTTATTACAATCGAATCAGAATTTAATTTTTTTTCCATTGCACTCGATTTAAATTTAGAACTTTTTTTTCTTTTCTTTTTTTTTTTTGTTTGAAATTTATATATATATTATATTTTGATTAAAAAAGAAAACAAAAACAAAAAAAAAAAAAAATTATGTAAATAATAATATTTTTTTTTTTATTTTTTTAATTTCATGTAAATTTTTTTACTATTGGCCGATACATTCCGTATTATTATTATTATTTCGTTGTTGTTGTTTTTGTAAAATTTAAAAAAAAAAAAAAAAAAATTTCGTCGTAACGGAACGCGGTAATAAATTTTTTGGCAAAGTGCGTAAGTTTATCGAAAACGTTTAAACTTTATGTAAAACAATGGGTAACGAAAAAATTAATAATAATAATAATAATTTAATTTTGTAAATAACGGTCAAGTAGTTTTTTATTTAAAATTGACCGTTTTTTATAAAAAAAATAT